GCCCCCTTTCATTTCAACCTGCACCCTCTCTGTAAGCGCCTTTATCTACTCCAAAGGCTTCAGCGGCAGCCTGCGACTGACAGTTGGGGAATCGACTGCCAGCCGACCTCTCCTCTGAGGGCCAGAGCCACAGATCCACCAGGATACTCCCCATTTCTAATTTAATCTTCCCCAGGAATCCTAAATTCTTAACAGGCCCAAGACTGAACTCACGATCCTGATTTCCTTCTGTAATGTGCTTACCCACCAGTGTTCCCAAGCTAACAGAACCACACCATGTATCAGGCCATCAATGCCAGAAACCTGACAGTCATGTTGGATACCTCTGCCTCAATTCAAGCTCACCAATACCTCCAGGCTTCAGCTTGCCCATCTAGTGAAACAGGAGAATAGCAGCACACCCTCACAGTATTCAAGTGAGGCTTAAATGAGATAATATGTGTAAATGTGCTAGACCAGTGACTGGAAAATAGCTCAGGACTTGAAAAATGTTAGCTCCATTTCACTTGACAGTTAATTATTAAAGTCTTCTTTTAGTCTACCTCCTAAGTATTGGGTCGTTGGGAAAGTAGAGATGCGTTTTTTGCATAGAAAAACATAGAAAACTATGTCCTGACTTTCCCGATGACCTAATGCTGCGTTGGGTGCGTCTCTCCCTCTCCCCTTACCACCTCACTTCAAACCACTGTCAGCTCTCAAGGCTGCTGCAGCGGTTTCTCACCGCCTGTCTCTCCGGTACCTTTTTCTAATTCATTCATCATAAAGCAGTCAGAATGACGTGGGTTTTTTTTTTTTTTTTTTTTTTTTTGAGAGGTTTTTGGCTATAGGGCGCGTGTGCTCACCAGACAGACAGAGAGAGACATAGAGACAGAAAGCGAGAAATCACCCCCCAGGGGGGATGGTCACACTGCAATCCCTTCTCCTCCATTCTCCTCTCGGGATCTTGGGCACGTGCACACACGCGCCCGGCGTGAGTTTTAAGCCACTGGGTCCAGGACTCGAACCGCAGTCGACTATGTGGCAGTCCAGCGACATAGCCATTACGCTAACTGCTGGTTCCCAGGATGACGTTTTGAAAATACAAATCTCATCATGTGACTTCACTGCCTGAAACTCTGAAATGGCTTCCCACCCACCGCCCCTAAGACACCACCTAACCCTCCACCATGTCCTGCGAGGCTCACACGAGCTGGCTCCCGTCCAGCCAGGCTCCCTTTCTGTCTCAAGCTCCTTTCTGCCCAGGGCTGTTTCACCTGCTGGTTCCTCTGCCTTGGACATCTTCCCCGATTCCTTTGCCCAGCCAGCTTCTCCTTATCCTTCAGGTCTTGGCTTCATGTGTTTCTCTCGGGGAGCCCCTGCTCTGGGGCCTTAGGAGGGGTTAGGGTCCTCTGTTACATGGTCTCAGTGAACTTTTCTGTTTTCATACTAATCCTAACTGTAAATTCATTATTTGTGAATAAAATGGTCTTCCCCTTTTGACTGCACTATAAAATCCTAACTGATCCTTCAAGGCGTAAATTAAACTTCAGCTCTTGCTTTCATTGACCACTCCTAGGCAAAAAGACTTGTGTTTATACACACCTTTACACAAATAGGCTCTAGCTAGGGGTTTCTTTATGCATCCTTTTTTTATGACTGTTCTGAACACTTGAATGTTTTCATATCCTCAGCAACTAGTTCAAGCCTAAAACATAGCAAGAAAATGTATTTAATCAAATTAAGTGCTAGGTGGTATCATGCAGTCTATTCGGTAACTGTAGAAATTTAGATATAATCCTAGAGGCCAGCAGGTGGCATGGTGGTTAAGGGCACTGGACTCCCACATGGCTAATCATGGTTCGAGTACTGGACTGGAGGCTTGCTTTCTCTCTTTCTCTCTCTCTCTCTCTTTTCCTCTCTCTCTCTCTGTCCCTCCCTAGTCAAATTAAAATAAATAAATAATAAATAGTTAAATAAAATAATTTTTAAAAAGAAATTTTGATACAATCCTATAAGATAACTAGTTGCTGTCATTCATCAACAACATTCTACCTCAAGAAAATTTTAGTTTGTACACAATATTGGTAAACAGACTAGATTATTACTTCCTGATCACAAAGTTCAGAACTGAAAATAACTCACTTTTCTGGAATGTGTAATATGGTTTTCAGAAAATGCTGCTTTTGGGACCAGCAGTTAGCATAATGGCTATGTCACTGAACTCCCATGTAGCCGAATATGGTTTGAGTCTCAAACCCAGTGGCTTAAACTCACGCCAAGCGCGTATGTGCGCATGCCCAAGATCCTGAGAGGAGAATGGAGGAGAAGGGATTGCGGCATGGCCATCCCCCCTGGGGGGTGATTTCTCGCTTTCTGTCTCTCTGTCTCTCTCTGTTTTTCTGGTGAGCGCACACGTCCTATAGCAAAAACCTCTCAAAAAAAAAAAAAAAAAAAAAAAAAAAAAAAAAACGCTTTTTTTTTTTTTTTTTTTTTTTTTGAGAAAGGGGCTTCCACAAGTGTG